AGATAGGCGGACACATGAGAGAGACACAATGAGAGAGACAGTCATAGACACCACAAGACAGAGACAGACACGAGAGACAGACAGACAGTCACGAGACAGGCACAGTCACACAACTAGAGAGAGAGAGAGAGAGAGAGAGAATGAGATGCACAAGAGACAGACAGAACTAGAGAGCGAGAGGCAACGAAGAGACAGGCACACAAGACACACAACGAGAGACAGACAGCCACACACACACACACTGAGAGAGAGACAGCTAGTAAAACTGGTCCTTAACTTGCCTTTGATTAGCTGATTAAAAGACTAATTAGAGAGGCCTATGGAAAAGGAGTCCCTCAGGCTTTTATCATCCCATCTTCTCATTTAAAGGGCTCTCCATGTACTTCTGCCCATTTACCTTGGCAGCACCAACTTGAGACAGTTTGAAAAAATACTTGTGGCTTTAAGCCCACTGCCATCCCCAGCACCACACAAGCTTTTGCACAGCTTCCCAGCGAAGCAGTCCAGCTTAAAAAATATAAATAAAATTGTTTCCCCCACTCACAAAAGCAGGGTCAGCTCCTCACATCAATGAACAAATGCTTTTATCAGCACAGTACAACAGCAGGAAAGAGCAGCAGCAACAGGCTAAGTAATACTACCATGATGTTACTTATCAAATCGTGCCCCTAATGTGTAGCAGAGAAGCCAAATCATACTGTCCTTAGAAACATGGGTTGGAAACATTAAAGAAAAACCTCAAAGCAACAAGAAGTTGGGAGAGAATCTAGAAAATAAGAAATCCTGACATATCTAGAGTCTCCTTCCTACTACCAACTCATTGTAATAAAAGAACTCTTGACAACATCCATCAATGTAGTATCTAAAACTGTTAAGAATTTAGCACCTAAAATAAAAGGACACTGATATCCTGTAATACAGTAGTTTCCATAAACGAGTCAGAAATAACTGAGATATAGTACAGATGTATCACTACCATCCTCACCTACTTTTGTGCTTTTAGGATTATTTAGACCACACATACCACCAACACCTTCATGAAAAGAGACCACACACCTCTCTTCCATACTCTGTGTATGTATGTGTGTGTGTGTGAGTGCATGTGTACATCACATGAACAGAGCTAAAAAAATTAAGGATGTAAATCTAAAGATGTTTGTTACAGTGTAATATCAAATGCATAGTGAAGTAGAAAGGTTTTCCCTCTCTCCCTTGTAGTAGAGACTACATACAGCAGCAATAAATAGCAGACATTTCAAATAAATGCAGTTTAAGTTCAAGTACAATATATTTTAAAAGGACACAATCTAGTTTCAGTAGGATTTTAAAACAATACATGCTTATGCAAGCCAAAAAGAAAAACTTTGTCTACATAAACTAGCATATACCAGTTACTGATAGAGACTTCCTGACGTAAAAATTTGATAAGAGTATGAAAACCCTTACATGCATTCATATAAAGATTTTTAGTAATTTAAATTGACTCTTAAAAAAAATCTTTTTAGTGAGAGTACTCTTTTAGCCTAGACAGAATCTAATGTTGTTGTAGATTTTTCAGCCAAAGTTGTCACAGAGAGAGCCCTACCTGTTCAAGCTATTAAACAGCCTTCAGAAAGAAATTTTGAAACAATACTAAATCTTGACAGTTGTTTCCCCTTTCACTTAGCTAAAAATGCTGTATAAGTTTTCATTAAGTGTATTCTGATTTAGAAAACTAGATCTGTAAAGTAATTCAGTTTCACAAATATTTACTGCACCTGAAAAGCACTACAGAAGGATAAAAACGTTATAATGTTCAAACCTGAAAACAAGAAAAAACAGTCACAACACTGACACACTGCTAATTTACAGTAATTATGACTTTAGCAATACATTTTTAAACTTGAAAGATTTTCTGATAAAACAAACCTAATTAATTTAGCCACTCACTTTGGAAATAACAGACTTCCTCCTTTTGGCTTCTCCTTTTTCTTCATTGCCCTCAGTAGGCTCTTGACAACTTTTGCAAACAGTTTCTTTGACAACACTGTTAACAGCTGGATGGGACTAAAATACAAAAACATCATACTTGAAATCTAAATACCTTCCTAAACTAGAGAATAATGATATTAAAAGTTGCACTGTATCTGAAGATCTAAGTAACCTCTGGTTAAAGCTGCAAGAATGTTAAAACATCTTATCTAATTTATTAATTTTCAATTTAAATTGAGAAGTGACGGTATTTTCATTATCTACCTTTCAAGCTCTCATGCACTAACAGCAGCTTATATTTAGGTTATAAATATTGCAGGGGAACATTTTCTGAAGTGCAATTTAATAAATGGAAGAGTTCCGAGTCAAACATGTGTTTTGTCGATCTTTGGCCAAGAGATGAAGTTACACCAGAAATAAATTCCACCATAGGGTACCTTTTCCAAACATATGACAAACTCCACAAGTGTATTCTTGTATATACCTAAAAATGTAATAAAGCCAATCAGCAATTCATCATCAGCAAACGCAAGAAACCAAAATCTACAACTGAAAATTTTTGTACAGTTTTTATTTTAAATAATACCAAAAAGCATGGTCAACCTTCTTCCTGGACAAGAAATCCATTTTTTTAATTAGCTGTCAAAGTGAGCACAGAAAGCAATTAATCTTTTCCTGAAAATATTAGTAGATTAATATTTCAAAAGGCTGAAGAATTAAAGTAAAAGACATGAAAGTAGAGGAGGAGAAGGCAAAACTACTATTTTTAATTAGATTATTTTATGAATTATGTTCTCATTATTAAATCTTGGCTCTTTTGCATAAAACTGGCAGAACTCCCTCAACTCTTAATTTTTTCCTCCCATTGAGAAAGTGGCTCTAGATTAAAACCCAAGCCACAAGCTCCCTTTTATCCTCCACCTCCCTAACAATTACAATTACCTCTGCAAAGTATAAATAATGCCTTTGGAACATTCTAGCTACTTCCGTCAGCTGAACATAAAATGAAGCTCTTAAAGACTTATCAAGATAAAGTACACTTAGGGAAGGGAGTTAAAAATAATAATAATAACAATAAAAAAAGCTGTGAAATAAAAATTAATCATCCCCTAGTAATGACTAATGTCTTATCCCTTTACTCTAAGCCCATCTCACATCCAAATTAAAAATTCAATTATTCTGACATCTCAGTCTGAATATCCCACTATTAACTTATTCTGCATGTGGCCAGAGTTCTCTATTCACCCTTCATTTTCCGGACACTGGGGACAGCTACATTGTCTTCCCTGCTATTGTCCCAAAAACTGTGCCTCCTCTAAGTAGGTACAAATTTTTTTTAAAAAAAAATGTATATGTAGATCAAATAACATCTTTAATATGCATCTTTTCCTCTCCAACAACATAGCTAAAAACCTTGCTAGTCTAGTCATAACCACGTGTAGTGATTACTGCAATGTACTGGCTGTACACAGTTCCACTTTGAATACTGCTGGAAAAATCCATTTTCCTAGCTTGTCAGATTGTCCACATCACTTTTCCATTGACTCTTCACTCTCCATGAGAGAGCCAAGGGGGCTGACCCAGATTGGCCAAAGGGCTATTCCATACCATATGACGTCATGCTCAGCATATAAGCTGGGGGAAGAAGAAGGAAGGGGGGGGACATTCGGCGTAATGGCATTTGTCTTCCCAAGTAACTGTTAAGTGTGATGGAGCCCTGCTTTCCTGGGGATGGCCGAACATCTGCCTGCTGATGGGAAGTAGTGAATGAATTCCTTGCTTTGTTTTGTTTGCATGCGCAGCTTTTGCTTTGCCTATTTCACTGTTCTATTTTATTTTACTTCAATTATTAAACTGTTCTTATCTCAACCCACGAGTTTTCTCCCTTTTACCCTTCCGATTCTCTCCCCCATCCCACCAAGGGGGAGTGAGCGAGCAGCTGTGTGGTGCTGAGTTGCTAGCTGGGGTTAAACCACGACAACTAGGCACATAGTAACTAGAGAAGGCTTGTGAAGGAGAGATTACCAATGCAAAATGGATATCTAGTATTTCACGTGAAAGTAATGAGGAACATTCAGACAGACCAATTTTTCTTATTTGTACTATAGTATTATCCAGAGGCCCTAGATTGTGATCAAGGTCCACATAAATGGCCTGTAGTCTTTACAACGTTCTGAGCAGGTAAGTATAAACAAAGCAGGAAGAGGACAATTTCTTTGTCTTTAGAGTAACTTTGGGCTTTCTGATGGACGGATAGCTATAATTTAAGCCTAAAAGGTTTATCAGGATAATATGAAACAGAGGATCACTGACAGACAAGGATTGATTCAAACAGGCTATGTGACAATTTTGGTGGTAATAAGATGTAACATTGCTTCCAATAAATATAAGAAGGGAGGAAAATACAGTACACTAAGATATGACATAATGAAATGTTGTCGTGATATCTGTGGAGAGCAAGTATTTGCAGCTTAAAAGGTGTGACAGATGCACCCACTCTGAGTGAGTGAACAGTACTTTGGTTCAGGCATAACTGACAAGTAGGCTTGACTGAAATCAACCTTGCTGTGCAAACTGTGAGAACTGTGCTAGGCCATATCTTCTCAGGGACTAAGGAATCTAGGCCATGTCTTATCAGCAGCTAACAGTACCAGCCCGAGCTGGGACTAGATAAAACTAAAACTGCTACAGCTGCACAGCTGCACATACACCAAAGGGGGGGTGTTGACTACCAGTCAATCACTTTACGCTATAAAAATCTGTAGCCCCTCTGAGCCCATTGAGCTCTCCTGTATGGCAGCAGGCTGCACGGCGGCGATCTCCCCCTTGAGCAGGGATGCCTCTCAAGGTTACTCCTCGAGGTTGAGAGGCCCCTTACCCAGCATCTGA